AGGAAAGACATTAAAGCTATGAAATGACACATATGGAATAATTTTCAAACCAAAAAGTATTTCATATTTAGAGTAGTCACCCTTTGCCTTGACGACAGCATTGCACAGTCTTGGCATTCTGTCAAGAAGCTACATGAGGTAGTCGTCTGGAATGCTTTTCGACAGTTCTGAACAAGTTTCCACGTACTGAACACTTGTTGGCAGCTTGTCCTTCACTCTGTGGTCCAACTAAGCCCAAACCATCTCAGTTGTCTTGAGTTTGGGTGATTTGGGTGAACCAAATGAGATGGCCTAATACTGCAGAATGCTGTGGTAGCCATGCTGGTTAAGTGTTCCTTGAATTCTAAATAAATCACAGTGTCACCAGCAAATCACCCCCACACCATCACACCTCTTCTTTCAACCGCAGATGCATATATTATTTGTTTGCTTACTTAGATTTGATTTGGCACCAAATATCTCACATATCAATTTGTATTTGGGCAGATTCCCACTGGTCAAAAGTTCATTGTCATGTTTCATGCCCAAGCAAGTCTCTTCTTATCGGTGTCTTTCAGTGGTTCTTGCTGTTGTTTGCGGCAATTCGACCATAGCGGCCAGTTTCATTCAGTCGACTCTGAACAGTTAATTGTTGAGATGTGACTGTTCTTTGAACTTTAACTGTTTATTTGGGCTGCAATCTGAGCTCACAGGTAGTTGCTGATTTAATTAACTAACTAATCTCAGCATGAGAGCTATTTTCGTCATAGCGCTTTATTGTGTTTGGATTGCACTTGAAGAAGCCCTTTAATTCTCATATATATGATGGACTGTTATTTCTCATTACTTATTAGAGCTTTTCTTGCCATAATATAGAATGCTATAGTACAGACAATGATGGCCTTCTGTATACCCACCCAATGATGTTACTCTCTGTATACCCATTGAAACACATTATGAAGGAAAGGAATTGCACATATGTACGTTTAACAAGGCACACCTGTTAATTGTAATGCATTTCAGGTGACTCCTCATGAAGCTATTTGAGAGAATGCGATGAATGTGCAAAGCTCTCATCAAGGCCAAAGTTGTCTACTGGTTAGAATCTTCTGCAGCATGAAATACATAATCACGGTTATTCTACAATGTGGAAAATAGCACACATACAGATATACCCTTGAATGAGTAGGTGTCCAAACTTTTGACTGGTACTGTATGTACGCTCTACTCTAATTGGCAGATCTCAGACCTCTACATGCTTTATCAACTTTGCTGGCTCATGAAGTCTAGAATGGTATTTTAATATAAGTTAATTGTTGTTCTCCTCAACCTTATGTTTTTCCTAGCTTGACTGCCCACTAGCAATGGAGAGAATCAAGGAGGACCGACCAATCACCATCAAGGATGACAAGGGCAACTTGAATCGCTGCATTGCAGATATTGTATCAGTAGGTGTCCCTGGCATGCCTACGTTTCTGGCCAGTGAATGAGGCCTTTGTAATCCCAAATAGATTTTTTGTTAATACTGCACTTCTTTTTGTTACTTATTCGTTTTCTTGATTCAACAGCTTTTCTGGCTGGTCACAGAGCCCTGAGTGTTCCTAAGTGGCCGAACACAAATTACATTTTACATCCATCCTGCCACAATCTAACAGGGCTACTGAGCAAAGAGGATTTGCTTGGTGTGCTGGCAGCATGGGATGGTTATAAAACTCAGATACGATTAGACTAATACAACCACTCCCTCTATATGCCTGTTGTATTAGAGGTCATTCAAACATGCACATTATTGTGTTTTGTCTCTGATGTTTCTCCTCCTGTATCTCCAGCTCTTCATCACTGTAATGGACAAGCTCCGACTGGAGATCCGAGCCATGGATGAGGTACATCCCAGTTTGTAGATCACATGACATGTGAAGTAGTTAGGAAACATATGCTTCAGTTCTATGCTTCAGTCATTTTTGAATAACTGGCGAATCTGAACTCTTAAGATCCAACCAGACCTGAGAGAGCTGATGGAGACCATGAACCGAATGAGCAACATGCCACCAGACAATGAGGCTAAGGACAAAGTCAGCCTCTGGTAAATACCTCACGCACGTTTAAGACGGGTTTCCCGCCAACTAGGAAGCACTTTCAATGGAGAAATGTTATAGAAGTTTTATTTTAGTTTTTTTTACCAAATAGGTGTGACTGAGAACACATTGTCACTTTGGCAATGAAATCGGTTAGGGCTTTGATCTAGAACCCATTCGGTTACTGGTTAGGTGTTCTAACCAGTCGGCTATCCTGATGCTCTTCAAATGACTCGGCCAATCGGGTCTCCAGAAATGGTTCACACTGAAATGGTTGATTGGGATGGTAAAGATGTGTGTCTTCTCCTCACCAGGTTGACCACTCTCAGCGGCATGTCGGCCTCTGACGAGCTGGACGACTCCCAGGTTCGCCAGATGTTGTTTGACCTGGAGTCGGCATACAACGCCTTCAATCGCTTCCTACACTCCTCCTAATGTACCGGTCACTCAGGACTATACCTTTCTTATGTCATGGTTCATTGTCGAAACCCTTCTTTGCGTTTCTTCCCAATGTTTACGTCTTTTCCCCACAGATTGTGTTGTATATTTTTCCATCGATTACTGTCTCCTCTTTCTCAATGTCTCTGGTACAGTGTCTGTTTTCTCCTTTGAACTCTGACCTTGACTCTTCGCAGCATCCAGTGCTGTGGCCTTGCCCAGTGGTGGTCCTTGTAATTTCCCCGGCCTGTGTGGTTTGGACACTGTGAAGGCTAATGTTTTTTCAGCCTGAAATCTAGAATCTACATAGGACTCTTATAGATTTCTTGTTTTGTCATATAAGCAACTAGCCTAGTGTGTGACCTGTCCAAAAAGTCCAGTTTGAGTCTGACTTTTTTATTAGTCAGTTGACAAGAACAAATTACATTTTAATAACACAACATGTCAAAACATTAGCTGTGATGTCTTGAGGAAGTTTGGTCAGACATAACTTCGAGATGCGATTTCAATTACATTTTATCAAGGAAACAGCAATTTTATTTTAATCGCGAATGTATGTGGCTGTACTCCATCGGCTCTCCAATAGACTTCAATACAGTTTGTGCAGGTTATTCCTGGCACTGGTCGTTTATTCAAAGTTGTAAACTGTTGGTGAACATGTGGGCTTTACGAGTTATGAGTATGGTAATGCGCCCATCTTGTGGGATTAGTGTGAAATGTGGCTTTCTCTATGGTATTGTTTTCTAATTTCGGGAATAAATGTAATATTTTATCATTACTTTAGTTAAGATGCATCATATAACTTGTCTTTAGACGTGAGGGTTTGGCCACATCAGGTGGTCATTGGAAACAAATCGATAGTCTCATTCTTCGGGGATGCCGAATTAAATGCGTCCCAAACACGCATATTTATTACGATTTATCATTGTAAATAATAAAATAATGCTGTTTTGAATTTAAGAGAAGCATGTAACACCTTTTTAGAAATAAAAAACTACCTCCAACATTGGCTTGTTTGTCTTTATGCATGACTGTTATTGTCTTTCTACATTCTAATGTTTCTAGAATAATGAATACCGCTCCTTTAAAAGCCACAGAACCCGACTGCTGCATGATTCCGTCTCCAGGACGACACAACCATTACTAAAGGATATGCTTGTTTGTATCTCGCAGCCACCACCTTTACCCAATATATTCTTGAACCGGACTATTTCCGTGCTTTCCAAAAGGACTAATTCGGTACTGTTCTGGAGAGGGATTCATGTTTGTCCGAATCGTGGGAATGAATCGATGGTCCACGATAATGTTTGATCAGTTCTCTAACTATTCAAACATCGGATCAGAAGTTGCATGAAGCTAATGCTAGCTCATATACATGTTAGTGTAGCTGGAGTATATTGATCAACTCCTAATTGATTAATTGATTGTGTTAATTCTTTCACGCTAGAAGTGAATGGACATAACATCTGCAAGAAGTTGATACACTGTTGCTTTGAATCACCTGTTTCCGTTGCCGAATTCTATGCTTTTAATTAGCGACCAGAGGAATACAATTAATTGCTTAGATTGATCTTTTCAAAGAATAATAATGAACATCACAGAAGTGGAGGGTCATATTTCCATGAAATATGAAATAAAACGAAGACTTGGAAAAGGCGTAAGTAATTTTGATGTCCCCTGTTTTATTGTTTTTGTAATTAAAATCGTACTAATGACATTTGTAATTATCCCAAGATGCAACAATAGCCACTACAAAGAGGAAACATTACAGTATTGATTTGATTCACAGGTCAATAGGATGGTGTAGGTCTGATATCTACACATTGGATAATGATCATCACTAAATTTGCCTTTGTTCTTAAAATAATAAAAATTCCACAGAATTAGTCTCCTGTGAATACTTTCTCATAAGCTGGAAAGTTTTTCCCCCCAGAAAAAGCCGTTTCTTTCAAGCAACTAAAACTAGCAACTAAAAATAAAAATCCTAAATTTCAGAGTCCAATTTTTTCCCCCACATACACCACTGTGTTATCTAGGCTTCCGTTATTCTACATATCACACCAATACTCATACCATGTAATAAAAGCATCAGGAGGCTTTTTTTAACTTTGATGCCAGTTGGCCAACATGGGACACAGTTGAGTCATTCAGAAACGTCACTACACTACCTAATCCCTTCCCTCGGGAGAGGAAAGGGGAGGCTGTGGGTCCTATTACGCAGGTGTTGACAGTTTAGTACAGTTTAGTGATACCCACTGAAATAATACACTCTTCTGTTGAGCAACATTCTACATTCCAAGAAAATAGTTGATATTCAACAGTTAGATTTTTTTTAACATCATCAACAAGTTATCTTGTATACACATTCTCCAGCTTTCAATCAAATGACATTACACCAACACCACTTGTTGTGTGTCCGGATTGTGTGTTATTTCGCTTAGTATAGGGCTTGGTTGTCTGTCAAGAGACACCCATTATCACAACCAGTCACCTTCCTTTGGTTAAGAGGAGTTGGTAGCTCAGTGGAAGAGTGCATGCTTTGTATGTGTGATGTTCTGGTTTCAATCCCGGGCTTCTCTCCAGGTCGGCATTGCAAATGAGAATGCGTTCCAGAACTTTTGTCTTCCCCTGACTCCACTTCAGAATTCATATTGTGTTTTGGGTTCTTCTTCGGCTTCCCTTCAGTTATGTGGTAATTCCTAAAACGTATATTCTGATCTACCAACTGTTTTATCTCTTGATCCACTCATGCTCTAGGCCTATGGGATTGTATGGAAGGCTGTGGACAAACAGACAGGAGAAGTCGTGGCTGTAAAGAAAATATTTGATGCCTTCAGGAATAAAACTGATGCCCAGGTTTGTAAGACAATATGACACAGGTCAATAATTGTGCATGCCATCAGCTGGATGCACTCACCGGCCACTTCATTAGGTACACCTTATCAACTGCCCATTTATGCAAATATCTTATCAGCCAATCACGTGACAGCAACACAATGTATTTAGGCATGTAGACGTGGCCTTGTTCATGGCAGAGTTCAGTGGTGAATGGTCAGGCTGGTTTGAGCTGATAGAAAGGCAACAGTAACTCAAATAACCTCCCGTCACAACCAGGGTATGCAGAAGAGCATCTCTGAACACACAATATGCCGAATCTTGAAGCAAATGGGCTACATTAACAGAAGACAACAGCTGGTCCCACTCCTGTTAGATAAGACCTGGAAACTGAGGATGCAAATTGCACGGGCCCACTAAAACTGGACAATTGGGAAAACAGTGCCTGGTCTGATGAGTCTTGATTTTCGCTGCGACATTCAGATGGTCGGGTCAGAATTTGCCGTAAACAACATGAAAGCATGGATCCACTCTGCCTTGTCTCAATGGTTCAGGCTGGTGGGTGGTGGTGGATCGGAAAATTTGCATCATGGATGTGCAGCAAATCTGTAGCAACTGGATGATGCCACAATGTCAATATGGATCACAATGTGCGAGGAATGTTTCTAACACCTTGGGAATCTATGCCACAAATAATTAAGGCCGTTTTGAAGGAAAAATCCAGTACTGGCAAGGTGTACCTAATGAAGTGTACGTTGAACCAGTTGTGGAGTGTACCAAAAAAGCACCCTATTTTACAACATTGAATGCAAAGCCTAATACTAAGGACAGGGTTCTAATAACATCTTTTAATTGTTCATAATTGACCATTAGGATTACTTGGGCCTTTCCTAACTCACCCTATTTTTTTTCTTACAGCGGACATTTAGAGAAATAATGTTTCTTCAGGTAATAATAAATGCATGCGTCACATTGCAAAGGTTCAAAGGTAAAGTGATTGGTTCAGTTGTTTAAATGGAGCCCACCAGTAGCTGCATAACTAGAGTAGAATAGTAACATGCTGGGGACAATACAACTGTGTTTGCATACCGTGTAAACACCAGAAGCTGCATAACTAGAGTGGAATAGTAACATGCTGGGGACAATACAACTGTGTTTGCATACCGTGTAAACCAGAAGCTGCATAACTAGAGTGGAATAGTAACATGCTGGGGACAATACAACTGTGTTTGCATACGTGTAAACACCAGAAGCTGCATAACTAGAGTGGAATAGTAACATGCTGGGGACAATACAACTGTGTTTGCATACCGTGTAAACACCAGAAGCTGCATAACTAGAGTAGAATAGTAACATGCTGGGGACAATACAACTGTGTTTGCATACCGTGTAAACACCAGAAGCTGCATAACTAGAGTGGAATAGTAACATGCTGGGGACAATACAACTGTGTTTGCATACCGTGTAAACACCAGAAGCTGCATAACTAGAGTAGAATAGTAACATGCTGGGGACAATACAACTGTGTTTGCATACCGTGTAAACACCAGAAGCTGCATAACTAGAGTGGAATAGTAACATGCTGGGGACAATACAACTGTGTTTGCATACCGTGTAAACACCAGATTGCCTTTAAGAAAGCGTCCTTGATGCTGGTTATGTTAGGCTCAGTTTTGACCTGGTATATCTGTGGTTGTGCATCACATGGTCTCATCAATCTATAGAACCGAAAATCTTACGTGAACCTGGTCTGTACACAACAGATTGTGGACAAACTGGACATTTAAAGTGTAATGCTGTGGTTTTGAAACAATTTGTTTATTGATCATTTGCTAGTACTCAAGCGTCCAAACAGTTTCTGAACTGTCTGTTGGTACTATTCTGTAATTCTTTTATAATCACCTATACAGGCCAATGACAGTTTTCAGTTTGATTTGACATTATGACAGTGCCTATGAAACCAGGGACATAAGTCAACATACCGTGGGCATTCAGAAATAGGTTCAAGCGAACAGTGCAGTAAGATCTGTCTCCAGTCCAGCCTCATTGACCGGGGACAACTGAGGCCTTCAGCTGTGCATCAGATATTACCATGGGCTACATAAACACTGGAAGCACTGGCAGGCCAGTTGACATAACAACGCATTAACCCACATAAACAATACCTATATTGTTCTGTCACTATCCTCAAGAAGGTGCTCCCATGTTGGAGTCATACCACAGATTTTCATTCTGTTAAGTGTGTGTGTGTGTGTGTGTGTGTGTGTGTGTGTGTGTGTTGGTGCTTGCATAAGACGTGTTTGTGTGTTTTAAAAACTATTATTTATTTATTGCAGGAGTTTGGAGATCATGCCAACATTGTCAAACTGCTGAATGTCATCCGAGCTCAAAATGACAAAGATATCTACTTGATCTTTGAATACATGGGTGAGGCCCTTTCTCTGGGTCATTTGTTGAAATGCATTTCAGATCTTTCTTCGGTTTTACTTTAGGATAGTGATGATGTGTGTGATGTGAGAGAACAGTCATTCATTCGTATTAGAACGCGGTTGCATGCAGATCCGATCACAGCACATTTTTTTCTGTTTTTAAATATTTAAAGATCCAGAATGTGTTCTTGTGAGAGGTCATGTTATTGTGACAACTTTTGTTTTACAGTCACGGTATTAATTACTGGCAGCATACTCATTTCTAAATTTGATGAGGTTGGTTATTATGAAACAAATCTGGTAGCATTGGGTGTGCTGATGGGTGTGGCTTGTCTCATATTGGCTGTCTGCTATACCTGCTGAATCTACACATTGGATTCCTCTCTGATTTCTGCAATGCAGTCTCATCTTTGAGTGCCCACAAAAATCTCTGCATGTGGCACCCCAGAAATCACCACACACCACACGACTGTTGCCAAATACATACTTCGTGTTACCCTGGCAAATGTTGTGGTCACTGCAGAATTCCGTTGATAGCCTATGAGAAATGTTTATTGGACTGTTAAATTATTCTTGTGATTTTGGTTCATTGTCCTTAAATGAAACAGGGTTTATTCAGAGTGGGTGTGTCTGGACTGTTATTCACAGGAAGTTAAGATTTGTCTGTTTTTGGAAAGGTGTCTTTAAAGTAAGGTTATTCCGTGTGCTATGAACTATTCTGCATAATTCTCTGTGTGTTACATTTTACCTCAGATACTGACCTGCATGCAGTGATAAAGAAAGGCAACCTCCTGAAAGACATCCATAAACGCTATGTCATGTATCAACTCCTCAAAGCCACCAAATACCTGCACTCAGGCAATGTCATTCACAGAGACCAGAAAGTACAGTACACAATGCCTAACTTGCCCATGTGCACATTCAGAATTTGGCAGCAAATCTGTTTGGAAGACATTTTCTTTCCTCCTCCCGCAGCCCTCCAATATTCTGCTTGACACTGATTGCTACGTGAAGCTGTGCGACTTTGGTTTGGCAAGGTCTCTCTACCAGATACAGGAGGACCCTGGGAACCCGGCGCTGACAGAGTATGTGGCGACACGGTGGTACAGAGCTCCTGAGATCCTGCTGGGCTCCTCGAGGTACACATACACTGAGATTAAAGACAACATTGTGCCATAGTACTGTCTTTGCTCCAAGCCACAGAACCAAGCCTTGAGATATAAATATACATTGAGACAGAAAAGTATATTGGTGCTGAGCCTTGACCCTGTAAACAAAAGGTGGTTCTAATCTCTGACCAGTACAAAGTGACAAACGGTTGTTCTGGTCCAGAGAGCATGACGCTTAACCCTTATTTCTCCCAGGTTGTGTCTGGGAATACAGAATGTGTCTTCTCTCATAGATACACAAAGGGAGTGGACATGTGGAGTATCGGTTGCATCCTGGGAGAGATGCTGCTGGGAAAGCCCCTTTTCCCCGGAACGTCCACCATCAACCAGATAGAGAGAATAATGAGCGTGGTTCCTCACCCCAGTCCCGAGGGTGAGTGGTCTACACGCCCACATCATCAAATACACACTGCCAGTTGTGGAACCAAAGCCTGTTTGGCCATAACTGACCGACTCGTTGTTGTTTTTTTCAGATGTTCAGTCAATCAAATCTGAGTATGGCGCATCTGTGATTCAGAGAATGCTCCTAAGGTAAGTCCCAGTGGAGAAGTACTCCATTGCAGTGCTTTAGTACGTAGTCTGTACACGTGTATTTGTCTGATCTCCAGACCCCCAGTGTCTTTAGAGGACCTCCTACAGCAGCCCCCCGATGCCGTAGACCTGGTGCGTCGCCTGCTGGTGTTCAACCCAGATAAAAGGCTGACCGCTGAACAGGCCTTACAGCACCCATACGTCTCCAGGTACATGTCCATGTCTGATAACAACCATATGTATTTATACAGCACTCGTGTTATATTAAAATGTGGGGCAAGATGTTTCGTTAGACCATTAGATATATTATAAAGGGTTTGGCTTTACGATATATAAATGTCGTAAATGTCGTACTACATTGTCTATAGGGTCCCGTCAAATGTATGTTATAGTGTGGTTTTTTTTAGTCGGCATGTGCTTCAAAGTAACCCAGGCTAGAACTCGACGAGCAGTAATGCTGGTTGAGTCTTTCATGACACAATGCTAATCGCTAATGTTATTATGGGTTGATATTGTAGTTATGTAGCGCGCACATGTAGGGATCATCGCGAATAGTACATCTTTTCACACATAGTCAAAAGAAGTGCACTGCAATACACATGACAGAAACATGCG